GCTCGATACTGCATTTAATTCATGGAGCACATTAAGATTTAGTCACAACTCCAACTTCTCCGCTAGAATTTAAACTCCAAATTATAAAAAGAAATATTGCAAGATTTCATAAAGCAATCAGTAGCATTTCTGATATACATTCAACATCAGAACATGAAAACTGCTTTAGAGACAATATGGAGTAATTTGTAGATTTCAATTATATGATCGATAAATGCAAAACTAATGCTCAGTCCTGGATCACAAGGAATATAGAAGGCCCCAGTCCAATCTCCACCATCTCCAATTAAAATGACAGGAAACAGATATGAAAAATTCCTGAATCCCTGGACAATGACACCTTGTTAGATAAATAGGACTATATAGATCAGTGAGCTAGTGTAATACAGCTTTCTGTTATTAAAATAACACATTGTTGTCATCTTTCAGATGCAACATTTCTTCTCAAAGACCATTTCTTCCTTCAGTAACTGATCTCTACACTTCTCCAGAATTCTTCCACTGCATTATATCATTTTGAAAGTGAGGGGGAAAAATAACAAGATGCAAGAATTTGCAAGAATTATTTTGAACATTTTAAAGACTGCTCCAAATTCTGGAGGAAAACTGATCATGCATCCCTCTAGCAATCATTTTCTAAAAGTTGCTAGACAATTCCTTTTCAGAAGATCTACAGAATAAAATGTTATTTCCAATTTTAATTAGCATTCTAAGTATTCAGTTGCTGCCCTCTTTCTTCTTGCTGTTAACAGTATTTCATAATGGAGCTCTAGGAATGTCTGGAATTATAACAGCATATATATATTAAAAGAATAGTCCAAAAGGAGAACCTTTCCACTCCCCCCCCCTTTTTTTTTTTCAAGTTTCTCTCTTTAAGTTTTGGAAAACAAAATAGGTATTGCTTTACATTTTATGTGATTTTTTTTTTCTTTAACCATCTTCAGAAACAGAAATTATTTTGGAAATTGAATATTTGGAAAGAAACTGCAGGATCAAGAAACCAGGCAAAGTATTTACTGCTTTTCAGTTCCAAAGCAATATTTGTAGCACAACTTTTCTGTTTAACTTATCAATGCACAAACAAAAATTAAAAGTTGATCTTGTTTTATTGAAATAAGCAGAAAGAGCTTTCAAGGCTTTGTAATGTGGCACTTTCATAAAAGCACTTGCATTAAGAAAAGTGTACTCTGTTCTCATGCTTATTAATAAGATTTAAAGCAATGAAGAGCTCTAAATATTTTTTTAAAATAAACGTTATTGTTAAATTACAACAAATTTATTTTTGAAGTGAACCATTTTTGATCTTAATAGCAGCAATTTCTTCAAAGTGCTTAACAGTTAGTTCAAAAGTTTTTTAAAAAAACAAAAACAAAACGTGCTTTTAAGTGGCATTTTCTGATTTTATGCTCCATTACCAAGGAACACCCCCCAAGCTCAATTAGCACTATTCCATAAATCCAAATTAATAACAAAAAGTCTTACAAAGGCACAGGAAAGGGAACTGGAAGATAAAACAAAGATAAGTATAACCAAGAAAATAAAATGTTTAGGGATCTGGCTTACAGTGAAATGTTCCTCGATTAAGGAGGACAATTATGATAAAATATTACACCAGATAAAAAAAGTTTTAGAAAATTGGGGAAATTTGCAAATTTCATTTTTAGGGAGGACCGCTCCGGTCAAAATGAATGTATTGCTAAAAATATTATTTCTGTTCCAGGTTATTCCAATAAAATTAGGAAAAACATTCTTTCAAGAATTAAATAAATTGGTCACTAAATTTATATGTCAAAGGAAAAAACCCAGGATTAAATTAAAACTCTTGCAAGATATGAAAGATAAAGGGGGATTGGCGTTACCAGAGTGGGAAATATACTACCAAGCATCGAGCTTAACTTGGCTAAAAGATTGGATGGATTTGAAAAATACTAGAGTTTTAACAATAGAAGGACATGACTTGCAAGCAGGGTGGCATGCATTCCTATGGGACGAAAAACATAAAATACACAGATACTTTCAAAGACACATAGTTAGGAATGCATTGCTACAGACTTGGGAAAAAATAAAACAAAAACATTATATAAGAATTCCAATGTGGTTATCCCCAACAGAAGCTCTGAAATACCCAAACCTATTGGATATAAATAACATAATTAGATACAAGGAATTAGTAAATGAACAGGGAAATCTGAAAACAAAACAAGAATTGGAACAAGATATTGGCAGAGAGATTGACTGGTGGACATTTACACAAATTCAATCTAAATATACAGAGGGCAAAAAATTATATGAAATCCAAAAAGAGCCGCAAGAATTGGATAAAATTATTCATGGAACAGAAATAAAATTAATTAGCAATTTATACAAATACCTATTGAGATATAAAATGGAAGACGAGGTTGTCAAAGACACAATGATTAGATGGGCAACAAATTTCGGATATAATATGGAATTGGAGAAATGGGAAAAAATATGGGAAATAAATATAAAATTGACTATGTCGGTGGCATTCAAGGAAAACCAGTTGAAGATGTTTTACAGATGGCATCTTCCACCAGCAAAGTTTGCCAAGATGTTCCAGAACAATTCGCCAACATGCTGGAAATGTAAAAAAGTATATAGAACATATTATCATTTATGGTGGACATGCCCAGTTGCAAAAAAATACTGGTCTGCAATAAGAAAATGGATCGAAGAAATAATAGATCAACCCGTAGACTGGAAACCAGAGATCTTTTTGTTGGGTATTTTAAACAGAAAATATAGTAAAGAAATATGGTACTTAATTTTACATATAATAACAGCGGCAAGAATAGCATATGCATAGTGCTGGAAAAATGAGAATATACTATCAGAGGAAGGAGTAATAAGAAAAATCCTGGACTGTGCTGAGATGGATAAATTAACAAAAGAGATAAAAGAAAAGAAGACAGAGAGTATTATATAACATGGAACAAGTGGTATATCTGGTTGGAGACTAGAAATAATAGAGGAGAATAAATATGGAAAGGTTAAAGTGAAAATATGTGTATAATAATGTATAATAATAATATGAATTATTCTTAGTAAGAAGTAGAACATGAAGGAAGAAAAATGTAAATAAGAAATAACAGGGCAATAAGGACAAATATTCTAAAGAATAAGGGGGGAAATGCAAATAATAGATTACCGTTACGCAATCGCTGTAAAAAAAAAGGGAGAGGAGTATATATTGTGTGTGTATGTGTGTTATGTTTTGCTTTGTTTTGTTTTGTTGGTTAAAAAAAAAGCAATATTCCAAAATATACATTATATTATTTTCCATCCTTATTGTCAAAGTATTTTTAGAGTTACTACCCATCATTAAACTGTTCATAACTAAAAATATATTTTTAAAAGATTTGAGAATGCTTTCCTTCAACAAGCATTTACAACTCATAACATTACATGGAAATAGATTTGATTGTATTCTGTTTTCCCTCAAGTTATTTTAGGCTATCCAACCCCAGGCAAATAATATCCTGCCCACTATTTTTAAAGTCATGTTTGATTTAAACCTTGAAGGGAATGAGTTCATCATAATATCAAGGCAGAATAAAATCATGACATGGGTAAGTAATACAAATAAACCAAACCCTACCTTTATAAACCTTAATAATGCAAAATCGAAGAGACAGTAGCAGACTGCTGGTTAAATTGCAAACGATAAAAATTTCAGCTGGAATTATCAAATAACATCCTCATCAAAATTCAATATCATTCTTTATGGGTTTTGCCTTTGATACAAGATTGCTACTATTTTAAAATCACTGGTTTTGAATTTTAAGATATGTTCTCTTTTTAATGAGGTAATTATATTTGATTGTTCCATTCTCAAAGTTATCAGTTATCTCATTCTGAAAACTGAACTATTACATGTATAGATTGTTGGGTGTTATCATTTATTCCAATTAAGTAACTTATTTAATCAAATCTTAAGTGAAAAAACATCAGAATATTTCTCAACCAACTTACTTCATTTGGAGTCTGCACAAAAATTATATCGACTAGCACAAAATATTTTTTCTCCACAAACTGAGTTTTTAGTGCGTACAGATACTTACTTCTCATTTAATATTGGTTCAGGTTAAAAATGCAAAAACATGCCTTTAACTATGATAGCCTATAGTGGATTTAGAGATTTTCATACAGCAAAAATAGAAATATTACTCAGGTTATATTTGTAGAACTTGGGGACATCATTAGAAATCACATCAATAATTAGCTCCTAAAAGTAAAATTTAAGAAGCTTCAACCCACGACTCTTAGAAGAGAGGCTTATAGTAAACCTCCCTTGAAATTTGGGTATATTTGTGTGTTTTTATGTTTGTATAAAGCCTTGAAAACAGTATTTAGAAATAATTGCTTAATTTGTATCTCTGTGAGACATACCTGGGACATATTCTATATACTAAGATCTAAACCAGCGGTTCTCAACCTATGGGTCGCGACCCCATTTGGGGTCGATCGACCATTTTACGGGGGTCGCCAAACAATGCGATCCGCCATTTTCCCCCCTCAGGGAGCGCCGCCGCGCATGCGTGCCGCGCATGGGGGCGGCACCGCATATGGGGCGGCACCGCGCATGCGCGTTGTGCCGCACATGCGCGGCACGTTTGTGTGACGGGGGTCGCCGTCACACAAACGTTGAGAAACGCTGATCTAAACCAATCATATACATACAAAAGCCATAAGACAGGATGGGGGAATCCATGCCATATCTCACAGCTGGGGGTTTTTTAGACTAATGGAATTATTTTAAACTTTTGAACTTATTTTTGCATTTCAAAGTGAGTTTAATGTTTGTGGAAAGGAGAATGCTGTTTGAGAAACATCACCCATAGTCTCCTGGAGCACAATTTTTTTAATGTCATCTTTTATAATTCAGGTGATATTCCAAATATATACTTAGAAAACTTTTTAATTTTTCTATTCATTCTGAGTTTTTTTCAATTTACATAATTTATTTTACATTGCCAGAGTTTTGTTTAAATTGATAAGCTTTATTTATTTTGGCACCTTGTATTAACAGTAATACAGAATAGGAAAACATTAAAAGTCTCTTTCATCATTTATTGTGGATACTCTTCTTGTTACATAGCTTTTTCTAGAAGAAATCCCTGCCCTCTGCTGAAAAGGCCTAGAAACAACTAATATTTTAACAGAACTCTTATCTGGAAGAAGGACATCCTGGGAAGAATTCTTTTAAATATTTTTCCTTTCCTCTTGTCTCCTCTGCAGCCACCTATCCCTGGCCTTCTTATTCTAGCATTAAAATCATTAATTATGGTTACTGTGTTTGTGCTATTCTATGCAGTAAGGATAAATCAAATTTAAGAAAATCCAAATCAGGTTTCTGTAAAATATTAATGAAAATGATATCTCTTTATTGAAAGCACTATGGAGTTTTCATTCAAGTTACCAAATTGGATGGTTCATCTGATCTATATTATATTATTTAAATAATATGTTATCAGTATCTCAGAAGCAGCATGCCAGAATTTCTATCACATATTCTAAGAGAAGTGTCAACCAAACACAAAAGTTTATCTTCCCCCTGTTGATAAGGTTAAAATGTATTTAAAAACTAACCCTATTTTTATTTTCTTGGAAGTAGTTCCTATTCATTTCATTGGAACACACATCTATATGTGTTTTTAAAAAAAGACATTTTCAAACATAAATATTAGAGGTTTAAATTTTATTCACACTCTGAAAAGAGCATCAAAACAGTGTAAATCAGAAAGATTCACATGGAATCAAAAATGTCAATTTCAGAAAGAACTGACTTATTGAAATAACCAGTGAAACTGAGACATATCCCTGATATGAGTGTTTCAGTATTTCATCCCAGTGTCAAAAAGTATGACACCGTTTTAATTTTTGAATAAATGTTCATATGAAAGATGTATACAATACATCAAATGCTATACAGAGCCCATTTCCATATGATATACATTATGCTGTACATCATTAGATTCTAAAAAAAAAAAAAAAATTCCTTTAATGTTCATTGAAACATTTACTTAGATTCCTGATATCAGCAGAAATGGGTATATTTTATGACAATGACACTTATGTTCTAAAAGTTAACAATACAGATATTTGGTTGCCATCTTACACAACTTATTTCCAGAAGGCACTAAATAGTCTGCTTAGTCCTATTTGGGTCCCACACGCAAAAAGAAAAAAGAAAAGAAAGAAAAGAAAAGAAAAGAAAAGAAAAGAAAAGAAAGAAAGAAAGAATGAAAGAAAGAAAAAAGAAAAAAAGTATGTTCCATTCTTCATAAACCATAACTTTGGTTTTTCATGTACAAACTGTTGTCATCAATTTTATATCTGGTCTTAAACATTTTGAAAAACTTCAGTACCAATTAATAATGCCTCTGTGGCTTGGGGCTACTTATGCTGTAAACTATTAGTACCGTAATGATGAAACTATTTCTATTAGCAAATAAAGCATAGGAAACCAAATCTGAACTTTAAAAGAAAAAAAAAAGCATATTCTCACTACTATAGATATATTATTTTTTTTTATAAATCTTTAAATTTTATAGGAGCAAGGCAAAACAAAAAAACAGACAGAATCTGTTATCCTCATTGTTTTGACCTATTTGGAAAGCATTATAAAACATATACATATATATATATATAACATTTTTTTCTTTCTAAAACATTTTAACCATGTAGATTCAATGTTTATTATAAATCAAAATTATTGTTAAGGTCCTTTAAAGACAGCTTTTTTCTTCAAAGGTAACTTTAAGGACATAAAAGAAAGGAAGGCAACAACTGTAATTTAGCAGAATAGTAACAGATTTTAAATGTTTTTATGAAGTAATAAAAAAAACCTTTAAGGGTAATTTTGAATAAGAAGGGCAAACTTTATAACTGATCCATACAGTACTTAAATTGACTTTAGCTTTTGTAAAGTCATTTGGCATGTATAAACTGACCATTTTTAGATGGATACTTGTTCTCTTATACAGTATATTTGTTATATGACAAAGCTACAGCAATTTTAGCTAGTCTTTTGTGATATTTCATTTTCATTAACTGATTCTTCTGCATTTCCATGACGTTGGTTGCTCATTCTGCAGCCTTTTCAATTTGGGCCCAAGAAACAGCCACCAAACAAATCCCAATACTACGCATATTATGGATTCCACATAATAACCATCCAAAGTAATAACACAAGATCCACCTTCCTTTGAGCAAAGCTGTAATACAGAAAAACAGAAGAGATAGGGAACAAGTGATAAGTATATCAGGTGTAGATAAACAAATTGCTTTTGACGTATGTAACACATTAAAACTTTTTTCTGAATGCGTAACTGGCCTTCCATTTCTTTAATGTGCATGATTTAAAAAGTGTGTACAATATTAAAAAATAGAGTAAGCTGCTGAGAATATTTGTTGACAACCCACAATCTTTGGCCTAATTTCAAAAATCTTTGTAAGAATATAGTTTTACCTATTATATGGAGAAGAAAGGAACACTACAAAAGTGGAGATTTACTTAAATGTGAGAATAGCTAGGGATGTTTTAATTTGGATTTTTTTTTTTTTTTTGCTGAACAGGAGTTTTGTCTTCAGGGCCTAAACCAGGGGTCCTCAACCTTGGCAACTTAAAGACTTGTGGACTTCAACTCCCAGAATTCTTTGCTGGCTGAGGAATTCTGGGAGTTGAAGTCCACAAGTCTAAAAGTTGCCAAGGTTGAGGATCCTTGGCCTAAACAAAACAATATTATAATTACAAAACAGTTCAATAAAATTAACTCATTAGAGGTAGTGCTTGACTTACAATCACTATTGGGACTTGAATTTTGGTCCTAATTTGGTCCAGGTACCCACATGACTGGACTCCTTTTACCGTTTTTGAAACAGTCACTAAGCAAATCATGCAATTGTAAGTCTGAATCATGCCGTTGTTAAGCAGTCACACAGTTGTTAAGTGAAACCATTCTCCAAATTGGGAGGGGAGATGGCAGAAACCAGCCAAAAATACAGCAAATCTGTCACATGACCGTAGGATGGTGTAACTAGTCAAAAATGCTCATTTTTAAGGGCCTGAAATGCAGTCAAGTAATTGGGGGGGGAGCATGACATTTTACAATGGCCAGAAGTAGAGTAGAATAGAATAGAATAGAATAGAATAGAAGCTGGAAGGGACCCTGGAGGTCTTCTAGCCCAGCCCCCTGCTCAAAACAGGAGAACCTATACCATCTCTGACAGATGATTGTTCAGTCTCTTCTTATGCTTTTCAGGCTGTGAAAAGAACTCTTTCCAAGACCATCATAATTTCGAACAGTTGTTAAATGACCTGTTGTAAGCTCAGGACTGCCTACCGGTAGTCCTTGAATTACAACAATTGAATCCATTTTATGACCTTTCTTGCCACATTTGTTAAATGAATCACTGCATTTGTTAAATTAGTAACATGGTTATTAAGTGAATCTGGCTTCTCCGTTGACTTTGTTTGCCTGAAAGTTCATAAAAGGTCATCACATCCTCCAGGACACTGCAACCGTCAGTTGCCAAGTGTCTGAATTTTGATCATGTGACTATAGAGATGCTGTAATGGTCGTAAGTCTGAAAAAAAGTCATAAGTCCCTTTTTTGAGTGCTGTTGTAACTTGGAACGGTCACTAAATGAACTGTTGTAAGTCAAGGATTACCTGCATTTAGTTCTATGATTTTGTTCTCCACATAAATTACTGTTTTTTTATTGTCTTAAAATGCTTTTAGTGTTTTAATTGTAATATATGCATTATAAGCTGCCTAGAGTTATTGACAGAGATGGGCAACTATAAAATTGAATGACTGAATGGATGAATGTTTCAGTCAGGCACACCAAAGTCATCTATAAATGATACTTTTATATTGTTTTTTGATAATGTGCCATCAACTTACCATATTTTCCGGCGTATAAGACAACCCCTGACTTTGGAGACGATTTGCATGCTTAGAAAGTCGTCTTATACGCCGGAAACTACCGTATTTTCCGGCGTATAAGACGACTCGGCGTATAAGACCCCCGACTTCGGAGACGATTTGCATGCTTTAGAAAGTCGTCTTATACACCGGAAAATACGGTAAGTGTTCACTTTTAGCAACCACACAAACAGATCTTTTTCAGGTTATTTTTTTCTAACATGTAAAAATATTATTCATGGCTTCTGAAGAAGCTTGGATATCAGCCCAACTTGGCTTGATATGTTAGCTTCTGGAATCTTTAATCACAATTTTCTAGTTTGGAGTAAACAGGAAATTACGATCAATGCAAGGTGTCCAATTTGTCAATACCATTCTGATGCAATGCCTGATGTAAATTACATAGTGTTCACAAGGGTTGTGTGTAATCCCAAGTAGTCAGGTCAATTTGTGATTGTCCAAATGCAGCTATTATGTTCACAGTTAACAATAAAAAATGTGGATTGCAGCTAAAGACTTAATACTTCTTTCAAGAGAATATGGTAAAATCCTACAATTTTGATCATTATGTTGCAACTGAATGCTTAGTGGAGCAAAAACATTTTAGGTGGACCAATGAAACATAGGATCTAGTAAGACAAAGCAAAAGTACTAATAATATATTAAAAAGTTTCTAAAGTGCCTGATAATCCATTTTAAATTTATAAAATCAGTGTGGAAATTTAGTATCACCATACTAACATTAAGATGGGGAATCTGTCTTGCACCAAACTTACTTCTGTAGCAGCTGAAGTCCCACAGCTGTGACCTTGAATTCCAACACATTGCTTCACTGTAAGTGGGTCCACAAGCCACAGAGCTACTGTGGCTGGCCAGTTTCCTCCCAGATTGGATACTGTGTTAAGTAGTGTCATGTACGTTCCTCCAATGAGTGGGTCACTAACTTTGGCATTGAAAGACATTATAGCAACATATATGCTGTATACAGTAACCTGGAAAATAATAAGCACCAAGGCATGACTTGATTTTTATTCAAAACATCCTGCTCTTTCTTCTAGAACTGGGGTAAGAACCTTTTTTTTTTTTGCTCCTGAGAGCACATATAAGAAATCCCAATACATCTCATTCTTATCTCACTATATTAAAAAACCTTGCAAGCTTCTGGTTGTTAATAAGCTCAACCAGGATTGGTCCTTGCATAATGAAATATTTAATTATATGACAAAAATTGCTATGAGTCACAACAATTAATGCATACATCTCCACCCAATTAATCAATTGAAATGAAATTGCACTGTGTGTTCACATGTCTGTGTATACACACACATATACTGTACATAAACATACATACATATACATCTGTATATATGGATGAATTTGTACACATTTCAAAAGTGCTTCTGAAAAACGTTTTGAATCTCCACAACTGCAGCATTTATTAAAGACTACAACTGTTATTTCTTTAAGCAACCCAGCATTTTTCAGATTTTTATGTGAGCCTAAACAGAGATGCTACTGCTTTCAATAATCCATTCATTAAAGATCCAGCACTTCTTGAAGCAATCATACTTAAACTGAACTAATAACTCCATCCAGGTACGCAGCCTTACCTGATGTAAGGCATAACTCAGCAATAATATAATGTAGTAATAGATTGGAAATCCTCCTTCATACTTTACTCTGGGAGTCCACCAAACCAGGAGAGCAAATTCTAATCCAAATAGTAGCCTACAACAAAAAGACAAGAATATTTTTAATTGATAATGTAACTATTCCTGAGATATACAGAAGCCATATGACTATCTGATATTCACAAGTTTTAAATCAAAGTTATGAGTGAGAGGTAACTTTAATTCATTAACAAAAGGGTCAGCTTCTAGCGTGCTATTTAACATATGTGAATTGAGAAGCGCGAAAACACAGAAGCACTTGGCTGATATCAAATAAAGCATTTCTTAAATAAAATTTCATTCTACAAATCACATAAAGCTGATGTATGTTTTAACAGGAAACTATCCTCCTTACATATCTTCCTTTGACAGCTTCATTCACCTTCCAGTTCTGTTCTGTTCTATTCTATTTATAGTTTGACTAGTGTTATGCGTGCACTAAGACTTATTAAAGAAAGAGCAAGATAAAGTTAAAAGCTATGATTTGTCTAAGTCTGATTTGTTTAGAGAAGAATAAACTGGAGGGATTCTCGTTCTATACAAAAACAAAAAACCAAAAAAAAAAGATGAGACCTCTTTTGATTTGGTTAGTTCAGTGTTTTTCAACTTTGCAACTTTAAGATGTGTGAACTTCAACTCCCAATATTCCCCAGCCAGCATAGAACCAATTGAGTTGTGGATGATCCTTATCCCCAGATACGATAGAATTATGTACAGTTGAGATTTGCTACAATGTGTGAAGACAACGTTTTTTATTTGGTCAGTAAAAGGATGGAGGGAAATGATACGTGCTTAAAGAATATAAAGCCTCAGACACAAAGAAACCTGCTGTCCTAGATTTGCCGGTTCTTGAGATGTACATTTAACTACTTTTAATAGATATAAAAATATAATTCCATATAAAGAGACAGTGAAATATTTAGCAGAAAATGTAACAATCTAAACATTTTACCTGAAAGGCATGGCTTTATAAAATGTATTCAAGGGCTTTGGCCCTGCTGTATATTTGCTGATGATCAGAGGCAGTATGATTTGCAATGGAACCATTGGAACAGCAAGCAGAGCTAAATGTTCCTTAGGCACCCCTTCTTCTACCAGTTTGAGACCTGTTACAGCATCTGCTGCTGAGAAACCAACCTGCAACATAAATGCTTGTTAATTTTCTCTAAGATTATTAATTTTAAGCTTTTCTCAAATTTGTCTTGATAACTAATTTTATAACTTGGTCTTGCTTTTTCAGTAGCCGGATAGTGAGGTAAACCACTTTTGATTTAAATGAAACTTGTACCCTGCTTCAAATCAATAATGTGAAATTTATTAAAAATATTGATTTGGACCAAAAAAAATCTTATACATCCTGTTTACTGTTATGCAACAAGAAATGTACTCGGACGTTATGATTTTTAAATCACTTTGTTTTTCCCGTCAAAATCTATGGATTTTCATAAAATGTGCTTTTAAAAACTATTCAGCAACATAGAAAAACCAAGCAGATATGCCTTGCTATGCAAAATAATAATTACAAATCTTTAAAAAAAAAAATAAGTACCACTTCGGATTATCAAAATTAGTGCTTCCCCACAGCAATCATGACCCCGGCACTAGAACATTCCTGGCACAGCATTAGGGTTATCATACTTGACCATTTGATCAGTGACTGAAGTAACAATGGCCCTGAAGGGAATGGTGGTCCTAGCACCTCCATTGTCATGTGATTGTGATCTGGGCATTTAGCAACTGGTTTGCACTTACAAGTGGTTGCAACACCCTATGATCATGTGATCACCATTTGCAACCTTCCCTGCTGGCTTTCGCATAGAGTTAATGGGGAAGCTACCAGGAAAGGTTGTAAGTCGCTGGGGTAAATATCCCTCACCCATGCTTTGTGCACCATCTCTGACCTTCGTGCACCATCCCCAACCTTCACTGTGCCTCTCACACATTTCCTTATTCTTCCTGATCCTTTATGAGCTCTGTCAATGCACCTCTCACACGTCCTTCCCAATCTTTGTGCATGTTCCCCAAGTTTTGTCGCATCTCTAATGCAATCCCTCACACTCTTACGCACCCTCCCTAAACTTCACTGTACTTTCCTTGCACTCCTTATCCCACCCAGCATAAGCCTCTATCCTGCCTGCCAGCCTAGGACTTTCAACTTCCTGCCAGCTTCCCCACTGGTTTTGCTCGTGGGAAGCCAGCAGGAAGTTGCCTCACCTAATGATCACAAAACTGAGTTAAATAACAGCAACTACAACTAAAGGAATTGCCATCGCTAAGTGATGTCCTAGCACTCTATAAATGCATCATTTTGTGACAGAAATTCCAGTTCCAAATGCCTTCATAAATCAAAAACTCCCTGTATAACTTTCGTGTTGTCATCTGATTCATAGTGATTTAATAAGACTGATACATAAATCTATAGATAAATAACCCTTTGCAAAAATGGCTCAAATTCCCAACTGGAAACTACTGTACAAATTATTTACTCACTTTTGCTGTTAAGATCAGGGCACAAAACGTAAGGACAGCTGGCATTCTGATTATTGAGAAAAGCAGCTTGTATGTATCCATGATTCCTTTTGTCTCTTCTTTTGATGGTGTTATTGTCGTGTTTTCCTTTTTCAAAAGCGCAACCAATGTAGTAGTTATTAAAAAAACAGCACCCCAGAAAAAGAGGAAATCTGAAACGATATTCATTCATAATCCAAATTTTTCATTAATGACCTTTTATGCCAGCCTTTCCTACAGATTCTTTGAGTCTTATGAAACTATAGTGGAACCTATCTAAAGAAACCAGACAGGGGCAAGCCATTATATTTTAAGCATAGAATACTAAATTTCACAGATACTATGACTAGACTTGAGCCATATAAAATAATTAATATATCACCCAAATATGGACATGTGTTTTACAGAAATTCCCTGCATCTAACAAAACTTTTTTATTCAATGGTATAATTCACTTAGATGAGAGCCAATGTAATGTGCTGTTTAAGAGACTAGATTAGAAACTGAAAGACTAAATTCTAGTCCTGCACAATGCCAGCTGGTAATCTTGGGCCAGTTACTCTCTTTTAGACCTAGGAAGCAACAATGACAAACCATTTCTAAAATTTTGCCCAGAAAATTTCAGGCAGTCACCAGGAGTCAAAGCTGATTCAAAGACACCAAGTAAAAAAAATAATCTACTTATACTTGATCTAATATACCAATAGGATAAATTGACAACTTCTAATGAACTTTTTGCTGAACCAGAACTGAAAAGATTGTGATTTATAGATAGTTAAAAATAAAAGTTAGGCTATGGAGAGAAGAGGGTTTTTTTATTTGTAGCATTAAAAGTGGGTGAAAAGTTATTATTTTAGCTTATGCTTGGAATGATGAAGGTTGGATGCTACTTATTGACTTTATTTGTCTGTTTTTGGGCTGTCTTTCATTGTGCATATGTCCAGAACTACTCATATCTCCAATGATCCTAGCACTCTACAATTTTTTGCCATATTTTTTTCTTTCTGCATGTTATTTATGCCACAGTGAAAATGAGCAAGTTCACAGTACAAGCTCAGCCAACATCTTCCTAGCATCCCTAATGATCTTCTGTATTCTTAAGAATAATGAATCAGCAAGATCAAGAGAAAACTTCAGATTCCTCTGCTGAAAAAAGTAACAAATATTGGCGCAAGGGGCTACTCCTTAAGTGAGAAGGTAAAGCTGCTAGACATGTTAGCTGGTTGGACATTGTACTATCTATTGCATGGGAATTTAACATCAATAATTTCATTGTATGTTCCATAAGGAAAAATGAAATTAGTATCCTTGTGAGTATGGAATCTCAAGGTGGTAGAATATCAATGGGATCTCCCCCTGGAACAGATGGAAAAGGATCTCAGCATGTGGATAAAGGACCGAGCCCCCCCCCCCAAACGGGTTATTGAGTGAACCATTAATCCATGAAAAAAACTCTCTCTATAATTTGGGATAGAAAGCACTGAGCGTGATTTCCAAGCTTGGAGAGGTGGGTTTCACAAATTCAACCATTACAACCACAACAGTATCAAGCTGGCACAGAAGGTTGCCTTGCTGAACCATAGATGTTAAGTCTGATTGAAATTGAAGCTGGAGGCTAGAATTCTTCAGTGCTGAAGATCAGCTGGTTCTTGGAAGTTTGTACAGAACAAACTCCATGTGCCCTAAAAAAAAAAAAAAAAGTCTTCCAATAGAATAGCATATGTGATCACAGAGCTTTTCTTAGTGGGTCAATTGGCTTTCAGGATTCAGGCCTTTAGAACTTTCCTGGTACTTGACAATATGCTTGATCCTCCCGAGACTCTGCAATTTATTTATTTATGAGACTTATATACCGCTTTAAGTGCAAGCACTCTCTAAGCGGTGTACACCAGTAAGCAATGTATATATATATTTACATTGCCCCCAACAATCTGGGTCCTCATTTTACCTACCTCGGAAGGATGGAAGGCTGAGTCAACCTTGAGCCGGTGAGATTTGAACCGCTGACCTGCTGAACACAGTCAGCTAAAGTGGCCTGCAGTACTGCACTCTAACTGCTGCGCCACCTCGGCTCAGTTAACCCACACTCAATTCCCATATTTAAACCTGGAGAACCTTTCTTTCTTGTCATACAATACTAACTCTTTGACTAAGATCATCCTACGATTGTTGCACTTTCAGCACAATGCTGGATCCCACTGAAAAATTAGCATTCTCCATCAGTCAGTAACTTCTGAAGGAGAGAGCACCATGAACAGCACTGAGATTAAGACACCTTTTGCAATAATGATATCCCACAGATGAAATCCAATGTAAAAATGCTTGAGCAGTCAGCTCTTCATCTACTGAATCAATTCCATCAATAGGAGATGAAATTGAGTGGATCACCAATCTTGCACTCTGACTCTATAAAGCACCATTATCTGCTTCTTTGCAAATACAGGTATGGCTACTATGTCACTGGGCAACTTCACAATGCAATACAACACTTCCCATAGTTTTGAGGAGGAAAAAGAGGAAGAATGTGCCATGCTTCCTTATTTGATCCTTTTTTGGAGACAGTGCTGCTCATTTCACCAGTAGAAGAAACACTATTCTTTTAGTCTTCATTCTTTTGATTCTACAGTAGTCATTATTTTTTTTAAATAGAGTATTTAAAATACTCATAAATGCTAGTTATTCATTCCTTTTTGTTTATCCCTGCCTTATTCTATAGTCAAAATAAAATAGTATATGAGAGCAAAAAATCTGAAGTGACCAAAATACACCATCCTTATTTCTGCTTTTTACTTGCATTTATGGTGAATTTTGGTTGATTTTTCAATCATTTTCTAGGGCTCTTATACCTAACATTCCAGTGTCAGCAGTTTCATTATCTACAGTTGAATGCTGAAATGTAACCCCCCGCGAGTAACTGGATCTACCTGTATTACAACACTATCTTTGTCTGGATTTTCTTAGATATTTGATATTATTTTCTTTCCTTACAAAGTAAGAGATTTAAGTTTCACTCTTTTGAGGTTACAATGGGCTTGTTTGTTTGCTGTAACTTAGCATATACACCAGCTGTACAGTTACTATAATGCAGAAGTATATAAATTGATGCAGATACATCAAAAGTAGATAGATTTGATAGGGTTAAGAAAATATACAAATCTAGTACGGTGCTTTGGCAGAAGTACCCATACAGGTTTATGTAATCCTGTATTTATATAATTACTTCTATAACAATGTTTTATAGTGCACATTTTGTACAACTATCAAACGTGTTGTATACCACTAAATACTGTATTGTGACAGATCATTTAATTAAATGGCTAATTGTAAAAATTCTAACCTAATAATGCACTGCATTTCCATGATCAAATCACTGATCCCTCTATCAAAAGGACTGGATTAGTTTGGCAATGATTTATTCATGACTGACCCAGGCTGACTCCTTTGAAGTAATGCATTATTTTCTAAATGCTCACAGACTAGCAATCTGTTTTAATTTTGCTCAGTATCAGCATCAGTTCGAAGTTGTAAAAAACAGCTAAAAAAACAAGACAAGCAAAAATAACATGGATTTCAGGATGGTATCATGAATGCTAGATACAGAATCTTAAAAATTGTTAAAAATTCCCACTCTCAGCTGTAGTAGTCTACTTAAAGGAAAAATATTTGAAATGCTTTCTTCCCAAATCGTTCCCATTCAGACTGTGTGGCCTCTTCTCAGATAAATGTAATGCTTCATCCTAGTTCCTCATAAACTGTCACATCAGTTAGCTGGATCCTTTCTTTTAAAGACAAAAACAATGCTTACCCTTCTTCATTATACCAACTAACCATGAAAAAACTCTGTGATGACATCTATAAATATTTGAGGGATATAATCAGTCTGGTCTTGAACTGAAATATTCTTGGTAGCCAGCTTTTAACTATATTTTTTTCTTATTTTGAGTTACCACTTTTTAAAAATTAATTGTTCTGCTGAAGTCAATCTGAACATATTTTCTTTTTGGCATGATGACCAAAGAAAAGTCAAGAAGTTCTAACCTCTCCCTATTACTCATCCTAACAATGGGACCCATCCCTTTCTTCTTTTACTTATGACAGATTCAAACAAGCTCATTTTGTTCCTTGTAGATTTTCTTGAAAACCTAAATCTCATTTTGTATTTTATATTTCCTAACTTTCTTTGCATAGATGTAGTTCCTTGTTGATACGCTCCTTGGTGATTCATCCATCTTTCCTTTCTTATATATCTTAACTCAAAAGTTATTTATGTTACCCACAAGTTTCCTAAGTTGCCCCCCCTTTTTTCCCCTTGCTGAAACTGAGTGCTCTATTATACTTCCAGTATCTTATTTTGAACTTGGACACAACCCATGTGTACTTCCTTGGACCTGGCAATTAATGCCCATGGAAATCCATCTATTACTTCTGTAATCTTGCTGAAATTGGCTATCTTGAACTCTAACATGTATGATTATGGTCCAATTTTTCTTACCATAACATTACAGGTAAATTGCATGGTTACATACTTCCAAAATTCTATTGCTTTTACTTTTCCAATCAGTTCTTCCCTATTGATGAGGATCAGATTTCATTCATTCATTTATTCATACACTATAGAAAAGCTGGCTCCTTTTTTTTCAATTTTTCCATGCTCAATTATCTGAATCTCAATATAATATCCACTTCCTTCATGATGTTATACACACATACATTAGTGTAGCCTTTTTCTTTGACATAATTTATACCACTAAATCTTTGAATACCATGAATTCAATTTCATTAATACTAAATTATATTACATTCCGGCATTAACATTTCTAGCTTTTCTTGTTTCCCATATTCTGTATAGAAATGTAACCTGATCTTCCTACATCTATGTGCTCATTATTGGATGGTTACACATTCTAAACATTGCTCCTCAATATCAAGTTTTCAAGACTCCTTTCAAATACCTTTACTTTCAATTTTCTCTTGCCAGGAATCCCTCATCTTGGAAAAGGATCCCATTATTTAAGAAAGCAAACCATTTCTATTAGCATCATCTGGATAGTTTGTTGTTTACTTCCAGTAGTCTTCTCTCTCTTCTTAGAGCATGTCCTCCAATGGAAAGAAGAAGAAAAAAATCACCTGTGCCCCAACTCCTTCATCCTCCTGTCCAATATTTCATAATACCTTACCATATCTTCAGTGCTGGGTCTCACCGTTTGTTTCCACATGGATGACAGAAAGAAATATTTCTTACTAAAAGTATCAGAGTCTTCAACATCTTTCCATCACACTCCAAATGTGTCCCAGAAAGGCATACTTGTCTTCAAAGACTACCCAGTTGACGGATTGCTACTTCAATCTCTCTCAGCAGGAAGTTTCCAATATCCACCTCCCCTTACTTCCATTCCTTTAGGACAAAGACAGGAATCCTTTCGTTTGTAGAATCTGAAGTGTCTTCTTACTCAATCTTTGAGGCTTGTAGCAGCTGCCATTCCTCCAAGAGTCCAGAAATCCACAGGAAAGCCATGGAAAGTGTTCTAACAACCATACAAGCACAAAAGCTGTACCCAAGAGGCATGAGCTTTTGTGTCACATTCATCTATCTCCTTTCCCGTCACTTGGCATGCCTGTATTTTCTGGGAAGTTTCTTGAGACCCTTGCCTTGCCAGTTTGTTCCTATGTACAATTCAAAAATTCCCTACCATGCCTGGTAAGTGGGCAGGTTTTGCCTTTGTCTTTTTTACTTTCATTTCCAAGAGGCCAATCAACCCACACTTGTAAGATGTAATTTGTCATCTTCAGAAAGGAAAATAAATATGGCATATCACCTGCAAGTGATGAGAGCAATTCTCTCCAATTTCATATTGCTCTGATGAACAACAAACCATAAAAGTGCCTCCCCTGATTTGTTCAACCAATTTTTTTCTCTCTCTGGTTGCTCATTTATCAATAAGAATTATTAATAATTATTTAATCAAATTAATTAGTAGTAAAGTTTTGTGCTAACTACATGCTTGGATTTCTAATATCCCACTCAAAAAATCTAAAGCATAGTCTAGCTTACCTTGAGTGTTGAACTGTATGAGTCTGCATTTGTGGGGTTAAATCAGTTAAACAGAACTGTCTTAATTTTATGAATAATAATTCTATGCACACTAGCTCTCATATGGGGGAAGGAACAAAACTTTCCAATCCAGCTATCAACTTCAAAAAGATGAAAAGACATCCTTCTATGTTCTAGAATCTAGAATGTTAATTTGGAGAACTAATATATTCTGATTGGATAAAAACCTTAGTCATCCATTATATCAATTATATTGATCAGGAAAAACTGGAACCAACTAGTTTTAAGAAAATAATGCTTCTTTCCTGAAGAATATTCTAAGCTCTAAAATTTGGGGACGTTTACCTATAGGATAAACGTAACATATATTATTTGGTTTCTTTTTCTAGGCCATATGTATGGGAAGTTTTGCCTTTTTCACTAATATAATTGGTAAATTTGGACACGGATAAACTAGCTTGATGCAGCTTCATAAATGAGTAAAAACATTTCAGCTATGATATAACTAATCAGAATACTCTAGATATTCAAATACAGAAATACCATCTGGCATGAAGTGCCACATGCCAGATCTTTTATAAAATAACATTCTTAGTAAATATGCTAATACAGAAGCATGTGTTAGATGTCACACTAACTTTGTATTTTCAAAGCTGGATAGATATGGAAACACTGAAAACTAATTATTATATTGTAGTTCTTCAAGTCATTCTATAAAAAAGATCTTGTGCTAAACAGACAACTCTCGTAGATATTGTCATGAGATGGGCAGCAATATAAATTGTTCAATAAATAAATGACAGGCTTGGAAATGAACCTATCATACTTATATGTGAAATTTTCTAATTAGAAATGGGCACAGAAGCCTTAAAAACCATAATACTCTGTATCCAACATTTACCTGAAAGTGTAACAATTCCTTTGGCTTGAGGCTGAAAGCGTAGATACTTGTTGCAGAAGGAAGGTGATTCAAGAGCCAAGAACAAGACATTTCCCAAGAAGTAGCCAGCTGTCTGACCCACAGAATTACAAGTGGATGCATAGCCCACATTTTCTCGTGATAACATAGTTAATGCCCAGCCATCTACAGCTATGTCCTGAGTGGCTGCTAGGAATTCAAAGAGGAAGAAGGTCACAGTAAGGGCCACCACATCTGGGCTTTGGCCATTGACCTCTCCAAGCAGAGAATCCACCCGCACAGACAAGTACATCATAAAAAGACCTAAAATGTACTGAGTAGGCACAAGCCAAGACTTTCGGCGACCAAAGTTTCTGAAGTACACAGCATCCACTAAGGGAGCCCAAAGCAACTTCAGACTGAAAGGCCAGAAAACAAAACTAAAGAAAGCCTGGTCTTTGTAGCTGACATTCTTGCTTTGCAAAATGAGGGGGATGCTGCCAGCAAGCCCCAGAGGAATCCCTTGCAGCACATACAGGAAGAGAAGGAGCAAGATATTGCCAAACTCTGCTCTATAGTCTTGGGGAGACTCCACAGGCCGGATGTGTGGCTCCTGAAGCAGAGCCTCCCTGTCATCTTTCCCGACTGTGTCCACAGGGCCATCTTCATAGAAATCTAGAGGACCAGGCTTATTCTGCATCACATCCAGAACATTCCGATAGTTGCCTGGCCGGCGATGCCGGCTATTATCCTTCGAGGAAATGGCTGGGGACATGTCACAGACGTAATCCAGCGCTGCTTTTCTTCAGAAGCCGAGGAGACCGGTGGTCCTCCCCACCGAAGACTATTTTCCCTAGTCTGGTCGCAGATCGCGAGAGGCTCCCAGGTCAACCCCGGCAGATGCCCTGAGGCGGGGAGAAAGAGTTCGTTCTCTCTTTAGTTCCGCCGGCCGAGTGGGCAGGTTCCCTCACGATGAAAAGGAAAGGAAGACGAATGAAATGCCTCTCTCTCCCTTCGGCATTGGGACGCGATGAACCTCCTTTCGGTGACCTGCGAAAATCCCGGCCGGGATATGGGGGACTCTGTTCCTCCGCCGTCCCCGGCACAAAACTTCGTTCCCCTCCACCGATTTCCAAATCATTCGCCAATCCTTTTCCCAGCCTGGCTGAGTCCGACCCATAAAAGTGTCCTACCTGGAAACATAAGCCAATGCCGAAGGGGCCGCCAAAGCAACAAAAGCTCCGCACCGCCGTGGTCTTACTCCATTGGCCGAGGGAGGATTTCGTCACGAAAGAACTGCCCTATCAGCGAAAGGTCCGGGAGAGGAAAGCGAAAAATAATGAATGGTAGCGACGCTTGCCGGTTAAAGAGGGCGATGTATTCAATAACGCTTCCGGTTCCCGTTAAAGTTACGGGCAATGAATCCAACGCGAAGAAGACGTCCCTGAAGACAGGGCGAGGTATTAGAGCAGCCTTTATGTATCTTCTACGTCAGCATTTCTCAACCTCAGCAGCTTTAAAATATGTGGGTTTCATGTTGGCTGGGGAATTCTGGGAGTTGAAGTCTGTCGTAAAGCTGCTGTGGTTGAGGAACACTGGTCCATCCTATTACATGTGGTAACGAGAACAGGAAAGACGTGGTGGCCTACACAGCTATGTTAGATACCTAACATACCTTTGTGGTAACCTATCAAAGAAGAGGGGGTCAGCTTATTCTCCGAAGCATCTGAAAACAGAGGAAGAAGCAATGGATGGAAACTAATCAAGGAGACAACTAACCTAGAACTAAGTAATTTTCCTGACAGAACAATTAATCAATGGAACAACTTAGCTCCAAAAGTTGTGGGTGCTCCAACACAGGAGGTATTTAAGCAGAGATTGGACAAACATTTGTCTGACATGATATAGGACTTCCTGCTTAAACAGAGTGTTGGTCTACAAAATCTCCAAGGCCCCTTCCAACTCTCTTATTCTGTAGATTTTTGTCTATGAGGTGCCATTCATTGCCAACTGTGGCAATGAATGATCAGTTTAAATTTCTAATACAGTAAATATCACTAATTGTAGCCAATACAGCAAAATCTCTTTTGGAGTCCTCCTTAATTTTTAAAAGCAGAAAGGGCTCCAGAGAAAAAAAATGTTTAAGAAATGTTGGTCCAAAGTGTGTTGTAAACCCAGACTGGGTGGTTGATTTTTTTGGTCCAATTTGCAGTGTGAATTCAGAAAACTTGAGTTAATATTGGCCAAAGTAATTGTGGATAAATATGTCATTGGAACATAGCCACTTCACTCAAAGGCAAAGCTCTGAAATCCTCTGTAACACAACCCTTTGAACCCTTGAACGTCTGTTTTGATGTTTTTCACAATGCATTAAAGTCTTACGGGGCTTTAAAGACAACACAATTATAGCTTTGAGTACTTTCTGGAGCAAGCCACACTTCAGTGATCAGTAATGTTTGAATTCTGATGATTATATCCCTATAATCTTTACAAATGAAGTGATTTCTTACAAGGTTTGTTTCTGGGATGATATTGCAACCCACCAGCTTAATTTTGTTTTGTTAAAGCAGCCATAGCAAATTTGCTACCCTCAGGAGGTGCTGAACTGAAATACCCTTCATCCAGCAGTAGCCCTTATCTATGGATGATAGGGATTGCAGGCAGAAGTGCTTGAGGACACTGGATCAAAAAAAGCTTTCTTTATATATGTTAGAAGTAAGTCCTATGAGTCATTCCACTAGGGCTTATTCTCAGGTGAGCATAAGCTCTTGTGCCTTTCTCCAGAATCATAATAAAGTCATTAGACTGTTGCATTTAATCAACTGAACTACATTCACCACTTGTTTTGAGGTTGTTTTTATAGTCTTGATTCCCACTTTCTTCACCAATCCTGTTTAGAATTGCTTAGAGACAGTTTGTATTTGGATAATTTGTTGAACTACAAAGTAGACTATCATGCTTCAGTGTAGTATCCAGCTAGGAAATTCTAGGAGTTGAAATATACATATTGTATATTAAAGTTCCTAAGTTGCTTTACACTAGGTTAGAAAATCAGAGTTAATTAAGTATAGCATGATTGCTAACTACTGGTAAATATGTCATGCCTTATTTGAAGGAAAACGCAATATATTTTGCATTTTCCCAAGAGTTAAGCACTGTCAGAATAAATAGAATTTATCTTTGAATGTAAGAGACTTACCTCTGTTATACATGTTTTCTCGGTTAATACAACACAACACACTTTGACTTAGCATTTATATGAAGCTAGTATGTTTATTATGTAAAGAAAGATAAAGCTCAGATAACAGATTAATCATTTAATTTAAATCTTTAAATAAGAGCCATATCAGGGGGTTGGATTAGGACTTCCTTCTAAGTTAAATTATTCAAGAACTTTACTCTTGGAGAAGGCCGCTCTAATATAAATTAAATATAATTTCTGAAGTGAAACAATATAGTGATGAATTAAGCTATGAGACAAGCCACTGTACATAATTTACATATTGTATGTTAGGTATGAAAATTGGATTCTCAGTAAACAGTGCTGCATTTGCTAACTTGCATGGCTTTTGTTTCCAGAATATATTAATATAAAAGAAAAAGATCAGACATTAATTTTGTGACTAGTGAATTCTCCAGTGCCAATTGCTAAATAACTGTCAGAACAAATTTATATCTATCCACTTAACTAGGGGTAAGTCTTGTTGAGTGCTGTGAGACTCAGAGAGAATTACAACCCTAATTTGGAAGACAAAATTGTAGTTTTCTAAAAACATAATGTTTCACATCTTGATATCGATTTTGTTGTTTTTCATGCTGTTGGGCAATTCTGATAGTTGACATTCACACATATTAAACCAAGTTTGAAAAACAGTGAGTTAAAAAAATATTTCCAATAATCCTTGATCACAAGCACTAACAAAAAGACCATCTTCTAAATGAAAATATTATATAGTTAGCTACATAAAAACATGGATACACAACGAGGGGGATACTGAACAGATTATTACAATCATAACAGTGAAAACTTAAAAATATACTCAAAAAACCCTGTTTTGTCAAACATGTAATTGCCATTCTAAGGTATATATACCAGGGTGCTTATATTCTAAAGATACAATATTTACATGTATTAAATGGAGCAATATTATGAGTATAAGAAATTGGGGGTCAGTGCTGTAATTAGGCAGAGTGAAGTTCCTGTATGAGGTAGCTGGTTTTCTGTATCATAACTAGGCAATCAAATACTAGTTATTTAATACGTAGTTGTTTTATGCTAGAGAAGCGAAGAGGCAGTTATTTCTGCCTCAGATATCATATAATAGTTTCTCTTGGATCCATGCATTTGAGGATGCATAGATCAAATACCTTAAAATGGGTAATGGCAAACCACTTCTGAAAATCTTGCCAAGAAAATTCCCCAGACTAAGTCAAGCAGTCACCAGAAGTCAAAGGCACACATACATATGGTACGTAAAATGAGTTTAACTATATCATGACAACCTAGAAGGATGTCCCTGAATTAGCTTCACAATTTCTGCTGAGCTGTGAATTAATATGACATCTCTTGATAAATTTATTTGTTAAATTTATTTGCCGCCTATCTTGACATGGGGGTTCTCTACGGAGTTTACAATATTAAAAAGGAAGAAAATGAAAGAAGTTTAAACAACAGAAGTAAAATAAAAGAACAATAGCAATAACACTTAGACTTATATACCGCTTCACAGTGCTTTACAGCCCTCTCTAAGCGGTTTACGGAGTCAGCATATTGCCCCCAACAATCTGGGTTCTCATTTTACCGACTTCGGAAGGATGGAAGGCTGAGTCAACCTTGAGCCAGTGAGACTCGAACCGCTGGCAGCCGGCAGTCAGCAGAAGTAGCCTGCAGTACTGCATTCAACCAGTGCACCACCACAGCTCATAGAAATAAAAGAAACAATGAAAAAGAACACAATGAGAATATATCAATATGAAAAAAGATGCATGGGTGGAGAGCAGACTGCAAGGAGAGGGGAAGTGGGAGTCTGCCATCAATCCAACAGCCACCTCCAGCATGGCATTGTAGCAGATCTATAGAAGAAAATACATTCTTGTCAATCAACCAATCAACCTAAAGGAAATAGCCAAATATTATTCAATCATGATCACTGTAGTGAGATTGCAAGTATAATTAAGTCCTGATAGATTTTCTCCATGTTAGAAGGCAATTACACTTTTCCTTTGGATATTATAGTTTCAATTATGTTTTGTTATTTGATGTTCTATACAAATTCTGCATAACCTTAAAATAAATCTATGATCTCAAGGAGGCATAGATTTTTTTTAAAAAAAGGCATTCTTATGTGATTGTTTATTTTACTCAATATTCTGAAGTCATCCTTTTCAGAGCACACAATAGCAATTTATGTAACATAAAATCAATATTTGTCACCAGGGGTATCTGGAAATAACAGAGACATAATATGTATCAATTTCCCATGAGCAAAATCTCCACAGCAATGTCAAAAGAGACTGGATTCACATAGGACATAGGTGAGATATAGAAACAGTCAGTTAAGAATTGTGAAAAGATGCAGGGAGTGCTTCTATTACAGCTCAAATACATGTGGACATCCACAGGGACTGTGGGGTGTAAGGAAACCAGCAAAAAACTCCACAACTTACAGTGCTATTACTGAAGAATAGAATGTATGTTGTGATGTCACATTGCACTGTTCATCCTTTTAGCATTGTTGTGGTTTGGAAAACATGCCTATGGAACATCTAACTCCTTCAAGCTACCAAAGAACTTCTGAAGTTTCCAGATTACTGAAGTTTTATTCAAGCCAATGACAGAGAAAATTGCCACAGGATTAAAGCATTTACTCAAGAAGTTATTAGTTATGAATTAGCTTTCCATATGGCTGAGTGTAGTAGTAGTAGTAGTAGTAGTAGTAGTAGTAGTAGTAGTAGTAGTAGTAGTAGTAACAATAATAATAATAATAATAATGTTGGAAGGGACCTTGGAGGTCATCCAGTCCAACCCCCTGCTCAGGCAGGAAACCCTATACCATTTCAGACAAATGGCTGTCCAGTCTCTTCTTAAAAACTTCCAGTGTTGGAGCATTCATTGCTTCTGGAGGCAGGTTGTCCCACTTGTTAATTGTTCTGTCAGGAATTTTGTCCTTAGTTCTAGGTTGCTTCTCTTCTTGATTAGTTTCCATCT